AACCATTACAGTTGGTCACTTTTGCTTTCTGACTAGATAATGGTTAGTATGTTTGTGTTTACATTGATTCTGGGTTACAGTTTGAGACTCTACAAGTACAGTTTGATTGTATAATTGGTAAATTTCAGTGTAAATGATATACCTGCTTCAGCATCCTCAAAAAGTTGGTGTTGGGCAACAAAACTTTAAATGGAACCAGGCTCTAGCTAGAAGGACTGAAAAAGTAGTGCCTTTTCTTTTGTTTTAGCATGTCTTCTGTCTCTTGTAAGATTACTTGAGTTCTGCTGCTAAATACTCATTACAGAAGTAGCCTCTTCACTCTCCTCCCTCCCCCAGCCAACAGAAAGCCTCTTATGACACTCTTATTCTGAAATCCTATAGCCTGAAGCGATTCCTGGTATATTGCCAGAACTTGTAGAGCAACCTTCCATCTCCCTTCAAAACCAGTCCTGTGACAGGCTTCACTTACATATGACATGCATTGTAACTCTTCAAATAAGCAAGAGATTATGTATTTCACAGACTTTCTATGGACTCAGTGTAAAACTATGTCTATGTACACATATCTGATGTTGTTTCAAAAACTGAAATTATTTGCTTGCAACATTAATTAATTTTTCTGTATTGGCACAAAGTACCATTTATTCATTAGCAATTTAGTTGTCAAAAATCTGATTGTTGTTAGAGACCAGCCACTTTCTGGTACAAGCAGGTAAATTTACAACTGCCACTGGATAGAATCAGGACATTTGGGATCCCTAGTAAAGAAGAGAATTAAGCCATTCAAGCACGTTGTGGAGTGCCTTTTCTGCACATGGATGATTTCCTGGAATGACTCTTTAGTTTGATTTACTGCTTCACAGTCTTCCCTACCTGTTATATGGCTTTATACTCTACTGTGTATACAGTAGAGTACTGGTATATAGGTAATAAAACCACCAGTTATTTAAACTTTCAAGTACTGAGAGAAATGAAAAATTCTGACCACATTTTAAAAATGTTTCTGACAGCTAGAATTTTAACCTGCACATTGAAGAAAGTGTTATATGAAATGTTTATTTTATATATTTAATTGAATGTTTGGTCATATATTCCATAAATAGATGAGGCAAGAATAAAAGAAAGCTAGTTGTCAGGAATTAGAAGGTCTTTGATATCAACTACCCTGTGTTTATTCACATTGCAATTTATATTCCAACATAGTGTTCACATCAGGGCTGTATAGGATATTTCCAAGCTGTCATGATACAGAGTTAAGATATCAGTTGGTGATGTTTGCCTTTACATCCTCTGCTTTCTCAGTCCCAGAAAGGAGGAGATAACCTGGAAGTGTAGAGATGAGCACTGACTTGGAAAACATGTAACTGTTGTTAAAGGTTGATAGCTGTTCAACCATGGGAGCAGAGATATTTTTGGAGAAGCTGTTAGAGATTGCTGAGGAACCAACTTGTACCACAGTATGGATGTTTTCACTGGTTTTGCAACAAGTTGTGAAAAAAAACTTGCAGTTTACATAATCTACTGAATGTTACAATAGGTGAGCCACAGGGAGGAAAAATCTTTCTGGAATGTATCATCTTGGTATAAGGACATGAAGCATCCTATAGATGCCTCAGGGGTGTGAAAAGATTCCTTGCACTGACTACACATGGGGTTTTTTTGTAATGTGTCACTCTCAGAACAGGGATGTTGGGAAAGATTCTCACAGTAAGGGAGAAGCTGAACAACAACACCTTTCAACGGCAATCTTCTGACCCATGCCAAGACATTTTCTGTGAGATGGGTGAATCATTATACAGAACTATTTGCCTGGGAGGATCAGTAAAACATTCAAACCTCTTGCCAAAGTGATAATGTGTCAGCTTGTATCATTTCTAAGCTTGAACTTAGAATCTCCAATGTCTGATGTTCTTTAACATGAAGAAGAGTTACTTTATTTTTTCTCTTTTTGGCCTGAGTGGTTAGAAGAGTAGCAGACTGTTGCATTGAATCCACATTCTTGTAGGTCAAAAAGTCATGATGAAGTCCTCTGAAGAGGTAGGGAGAACAGTGCAGCAAGGAAAAAAATGGCTGATGTAACTTTTGGAAATTATTTAATGACAGTTACAGTACTTTATAGTCTTTTAACTTACAGTCTTTTAACTTACAACCTTTTAACTTACCAAAAATGAGTAGCTCAGTGGCAGCAAAAAATGGACTTCATAATTGAACTTCATAATTACTTTCTTTTGACGGTGATGAGAGCATATTGCTTTTTATTTGAGAGCAGGTAGGTGTTTGCAACTTGTGTGACAAACTAGTAAAGTTCACTGAGCCACAAGCAGTCATTTTGGCAACTTCATATGTACAACGGGGTGAATGATGCATATTGCAACAGGACTGACCTCATTCCTTACCATTGCTATGCCCAGTGAAAGGGCATAAACCTGAAACCATAAAACTCTGAACTAGACCATTCAAAATTCAGCCAGGGTCTGTAGAGCTTAATCAGGACTGCAGAACTTCAGGAGAATGTTACGATCATTGGAAGAAGCTAGGAATGGGAATAGCTGACTCCTCCACGTGTGATGTGCTTGATAGGAAAGCTTTGGGTTGCTGAAGAGGGCCTGACCTATTTCCTTCCTTTTGATTCTCAAGAATAAGAGTGGTTACACCATGAAGTTGCAGATGGGCATATAGAATAGAAAAGAGTTATAGCCCACTTTAAATTAATGGCACATCTAATGGAGGAGTGTGCCTAGCAATCTACTTGTTTTTTTGTGGTGGAAATTACAGAGCTAATGACATTTTAGACCTAAACTGGAGCTTTGATTGATGGAACATTTTGCTAGGGGGTGTTTTTTTATGGAAAGATAGTGGGTAGGATAATGAGAAGAAAAGTGGTCTAGTCTTCACTGGAGGAACATGACCAAAGGTGAGATCAGAAAAAGGAAAATAAATATTAAAGTAAAGATAAAAATACTGTAAAGGATTAAATTGATCAAACATGGAAAATGGTTAAGTCAGAACAAGCAATGCAATTCACTGAGAAGAAATGCTCGTTCAGAGCTAAGGTGAGGTGAAGGTGTTATGCTGCAGTCTCTTACACCACAGGGAAGAGCTGCCCATGAATTTAGTATGCTTTTGGCAGCTGCTGGAGCTAAAATGCCTTTGGAGTAATTCTGCACACACAGACCAGAATGTGGATATATTCTTAAGGCAGAACTGTTGAGCAGTGAGTAAGAAGACCCAACTATGAGTAGCAGAAGATAATTAAGAAGAAAATGACATCTCAGATTGACTGGAATTATGTTTTCTACTTGGCCACAAAGGCTTTCATGAACAGTTTACCAATAAAAAATATGCCAGAAAATGTAAGTCAGTACTTTTTTGCCAAAGTAATGAACTATGTGCACAAACTAAAGTTATATGTGAAGAACAGCTGAGCTGGGCCTAATTATTTGGGCTGAGAAAAGGCATGCTAACAACAGAAAAAGGCATTCGGAAACAAAGTCTTGTTGTTCAGTCTGCTCTGTTATGGGAAGCCAGCCTGTCTTATATCAATGTCATTGTGGATTCCTTTTGGATGTTGACCTCTTAAAAACACACGCGTGACACTTCTGTCCTTTCCAGTAAGTGAGGGAATAGTTCTAGTCAGGCAGATTAGCACTGGCCATAGTTATCCAGGTCTTCCCTTGAATTTTGGGCAGGCTGTAACAAGGTTCTAGTTGGTCCAGGATAGCACCATGGACGTGCATTTTCAGGTTGTATGATGACTGGCATACAAGGTGTAGAATCACAAACAGAGCTTGTGTTCTTGGTCCTCAACTGCAGAGTGTTGCAGGCACAGCACAGGGGTGCCTAGATCTGTGCAACACACTGTGGTTACTCCATTTAGCCTTAGCCTCTCCAGACTAAGGCTAAAACATCTATATGAGAGCTGGTCTTAGTAGAATGTCTCTAAACACCAAGAGTGTGTGTGAGCTAAGATGTGGTTGGAAATGTTGGCTTTCTGATACTACAGCTTCTGACTTCTCAGTAAAGGAGTGTAGAGACATATTTAAGAAACAGTATATATGTAGCTTACAGAGGGGAAATATGCTACAGGCAAGCTACTGACAAGTTCTTTTTGTATTTTTCCATGCTGTACCTAGTGTTCTGCACTATACCACTGAAATCAATATAGTGAGATACCACTTGTTTACCAGGAAAAGACCTATCAGCAGTGATAGATAGCTAATTGCCTTGAAGTGACACGTTTTTAAAAAGAGATCTTGACAGCATTATGCTTCAAGTTTTCTACTTGAACTGTTAGAAAACACAAAAGGCTCGAGCCTGTTGCTACAAGTAAAGACTGGAATTCACACGGAAGCACATTCTCATCACTAACACTGAAGATAAGTTAGTGTTAAGATAATTCCTCACTGACGGCTGCCTTATTGTTAAATTGGCTAACACTATTCAGAGCAATGTAGACATGGTAAAATATATTCAGTCCTGAGTACTTTACTGATAATGTCACCAAAATGAATGCTTTGTGAGAAAGAGTGACAACTCTGTGTGATGAAGAAATGAAGACCTCAGAATAAGAAAAATTGAAAAAGCAGCAACAAAATTAAACATACCAGGTATATGTGTGTGTAAACAAGCGACTAAGAGATGCAGAAAGTAATATAGGATTTTTTACATTAAATTGTATAGTGCATAAAGTAATCAACAGAACAAAAGAGAACAAAGGAGAATATTGGCTTTTGGTAATAATTTCTAATTTCTGTGACAATATACTATATATATATATATATATATATATATATATAGCTTCAATCAGCTACAAGACTAAATAATTAATATCTGGGGTGAAAAAGCACCTAGGAAACTTATGCATTCACTAAAAAAGTCAAAGAAATAGTAATGATCGTATTAACCAATTCATGTGGTGACTTCATATATGGTACAAAGAGACAGGTAAGAATCTTTGCCCGTCACTGCCTTTGAGGATCTACTTTGTATTTTACATTTCTGGTCTTACTGATCTATCTTCTCTTCTTCCACTACCCTACCATTTATTTACCATTCTTTACCATTTGTAAAGAGCTTTTCCTTTCTTTTATCTCCTCTTGATCTTTTTGTCCTTTGCCATTGCCAAATTCACATTCATGTATTTTCCTGTTTCCTGTTAATTCTGCTCCCTTTAGCAGAATGCCTGTTGTATTTACAAGTTTTCCAGCATAAGTCTGTCAAAATAGTTCATTTTAAGAATTATTTTAGGAGAAAGTTAATGACCTAAAAATACTTTTGTCCTCAATTTATATTATCACTTAGCTATGTAACAAATCAAATTCTTCCAAAAATCCAAAGTGACAGAGTTCCTTACCAACATGGCATAACAAGTGCTTTGTAGTCATAATTTAGCAAACAAAAATGATGGTGGTTGTGCATAATCAAGCCCAGTTTGTCAGTATTGAAACTCTTCCATAGTGCCAATAGCACTGAAAGCTTGCTTTAAGAGATAATCCAGAGACATATGAATCTTAGTCTGAGAGCATCTCTTTCACTAATTTGTGAACCATTTATTTTAGAGCCAAGGCCCCAATGTAGAAATTGTCATTGTTACTTGAAATTCTGTTGTGAATATTTGTAGTCAAACTTTAACTTCCAAGAATAGAGCTTGGTATGTTTTGTGATTTCTTTTCTGTTTTGTTCTCTCACTCGTATTTCCCAGACTGGTGTAGGAGTACATTGTCTTGCTGGTGTATAAAAGTATGGAAAAAAAATGTAGATCTTCCCCAGAATCAGAGATCCTAAAAGATAAATGAAAGTGGCAGAAAAATGTTAGTGGTAAGAGATGTAACATACACACCAAACTATTTGCATAAACATAGATTAGTGCTCCTTCATTCCTTACTTTGTCATTGTCTAGTAATTTTTTTTTTTACTTTCCTGTCTCTTTCCTTATGACTTTCCTTTATTCTGTAATTGGAGCCACTTGTCATTCATTCTGTAAGGGTTTTCCTAAACTTATTTTGTCTATAGTTAATTAACCAGTGGGAGAATCCTCTTGAAGAGTTTGACATTCTCAAGATCAGGTTCAAGTTACATCATCATCAGTATATCCTGAGAGAGAAAAACTTTTCATATTTCAGTGTCTTTTTAAAATAGATCCTTTATGAAACTGCTTGCTAATATTTCCTCCAAAGTAAATATTATAGTTCATTACATAATATGTGAATTGTATTATATGACTGTCGTGACAATCAATAACAACTAAAATAATAATTCATTCACCAATCAGAAGAGGCATTAAAATGTTTACTATCAGGATAATTTGTATGCAGTCCTTAACCATGTGAATAAATGTATTTCAGAAATGCCCATAAATTCATATATCACTCATTATTGCCTGATAAGCTTGATTCAACAGGAATCATTAATAAATTACTTCTAATGCATTAGATATGATGAAAATTTCTCAGATTATGTTGATATTCTCCTCCAAGCTTCTTCTGGTCATCTTCATAAAGTAAATTGCATGTAACATGTTGGTATAGAAAATATATGTAGGTTCTTCTAAACTAATTTTTTGAAAAACAGTAGTGTGGAATTGGATCATCTCATGTTTGGATGTGTTGAGTGCATTGTTCCTCCATAAGCTGATAAGTATGTAATACTAGCTTTGAGAGAAGGGTAGAACCAGAGAATCTTCAGAGTTTGCTTTCTGAATTATTTACTAAATTATTTTACTGTTCTATGGAAATCAATAACTTATCACTAAAGATCGGGCTATTAGCCCATATACTGTCCAATGCATTTGCTGCTTACAGAATTACTGAAATATATTAACATGTCTTCTTAATTTTTTTAATGTCACATTTATGCATACCTTATTACAAGTTTAAAGGTGCATCACTAATAACATACCTACTTTATACAGACTTAGATAACCAGTAATGCCTGGAAATATAGCAATACATTCACAATAACCAACCATCTCCTTTGGAGTGATTTCATGTTTAGTGTAAAGATGTATTCCACATGTAATTTTGAAATTTTTGGAAAAAAGCTACCCAATAAGAGCCTTTGTGTTACTCTTCTTAGCTCTGGGAAAGCTTTTCAAATGTTGCCGAAGCCATGGTCTAAAGTTGCTTTGCAAATTGTTGGCAGCTCAGGGTTTTGTAGAACACTTGATGTTCTCAGGAATGACCTGGTAGTTGCCTGATCTCCTGCAGTGTTTTAAGTGTCAGGCTGTCCTTTTCCTGCCTTATCTTCTTTAAATCTTGTTCTACTACCCTTCTTTCCCCTGACTTTTTCCTCTGAATTTATTTAGTGTTGTCCAGGGCATGTCTCACCATCCAGAGGCAAATTTGGTTAGATAGATTGGTATCACAGCCTATGACTGGGGGGAACCCTTGCTAGTGATAGAAGTACTAGGCGCAGATACAGACTAGGGAGAAAAGGAAGCTGTGAATAACAAGGTGCTATTCTCAGTGGCTGAGTTAGGAATTTATGGTGCCTGTATTCAGCAGTGGTGAGGCCACACCTCAAGTCCTGTGTCCAGTTCTGGGCTCCTTGATGCAAGAAAAACATTGAGGTGCTGGACTGAGTCCAGAGAAGGGCAGCGGAGCTGGGGCAGGGTCTGGAGCACAAATCTGTGAGGAGCAGCTGAGGGAGCTGGGGGCATTTATCCTGGAGAAAAGGAGGCTCAGAGGTGACCTTATCACTTTCTACAACTGCCTGAAGGGAGCCTTTGGCCAGTTGGAGGTCAGCCCCTTCTCCCAGGCATGCAGTGAGAAGACGTGCCCCAAGCTGTGCCAAGGTTGGTTCAGACTGGACAGCAGGACAAAGTTTTTCATGGAAAGGGTTATTAAATATTGGGATGACTGTCAAGGGAGATGGTGGAGTCACCATTCCTGGAGGTGTTCAAGAAATGACTGGAAATGGCACTTAGTGCTTGTGACACTTAGTGGTTTGGTCAAAGATTTGTTGGACTTGATGATCTTAGAGGTATTTTCCAATCTTAATGATTCTGTGATTATGTGAAATTAGTACCTCACATACAGATGAGCTATTGACGGTATGGTGGTGGGATCTTGTCCCCTGGGAAGCAGCAGTTCCTGGCTCCTGCTGAGTTCCTTCCAGCAAGTTCAACCACTGAGTTAGAAAAGAAAACACAATCTGACATATAATCCTTGACAAATTGCTGACCCTTGTATCTGAGGGATGAGAGGAAACTATTATCTGTGTTCACACAATTCTTTTCTCTGTAAGCAGCAATTCTTTGTCCTCAGCCTTAAGAAAAAAAGTCTGAGTTGAAGATAGAAAGTTCAGTCTTATTTCTCTGTATAAGAAGTCCCTTTTACAGATGAATGAATTCAGCCATGTCTGGAGTGAATGTAACAATTGTTTAAAAATACAAAGTTTTAAATTATGTCCAGCTGACTCTGTAGAGGAATTTTGCAGGCAGGAAGAAGTTAATTATTCAAATCTGGATCCAGATCAGGATTAGGTTTATTGACTCACACACTGTAAATTTGATAGCTCTAATGTGGTAACTGACATAATTTTTAAAAATAATTTGTGAGCATGTGCAATGCTGTAAGAAGGTGTTTTCCCAGCCAGCTCAAGAAACAAATTTTTAGCTGTTCATTATTCAATTACACTTTTCTCAAGAAAAGGAATGTAGGCTAACATAATATTCCAATATTTATTGAAAAATAATTCAAATAGAAGCTTTTCAGGACATAGTTTATAATTCTTTGGTTTTGCTTTTTCCCCCTCAAAATGGTCATGGTCAACATGACCAGTATGCTACCAGTATTCTCATTTGTAGTAATGTGACGTTATCTTGGTGATGTGATTGTTCTGAAGAATCACAGTTAGATTTTTGTCATATTAAGGGCTGGCAGATTTGGTTCCTGAACCATGAAGTGAAACTTGCTAATGAAAATCTAGACCAGCAAAGCTAATGAGTGTTTTATTAGTGACCCTGTAGGATAACGATGTTCTCTGAGGATTTAAATCTTAAAATCTTCAGCCATTATTAGAAAAGTTAAACAGAAGTATAATTTTATATTAATCCTAATTCTTATTTTATTTATATAAATAGGTGTTTGCTGTTGAGTTCAGTAACAGCTGGTGTGGACTTCCTTGTTGAATTCTGCAAAATTCAGCTGACCTCTGCTAATCCCTTTTATTTATATAGAGCATGAAGTATTGGTACCATGAATGAGCAAAGATTTTCAAGAAAATACTCAAGAGAATGAATTTTCTTAAGAATTTTTCGTAAGAATTATCTTATTTAATCTCAAACTTCAAATCTGACTTAATACACAAGTTAAAAAATTTTAGAGGTTATAACTCATACTTAGCGTGATGTTAGTATTGCCTTCTAAAATAACTTTAGGGAGGATGAAATTCAGATTTACAAAAGAATGGAAATAAATCTGTCGCTGTGCTCTTAAGAAAAGCTGGTACTCAGAAATCAATAAGAAGAAAGTACCAATTTTTAGTTAAAACAGGCAAGACATTTTGAGTTACAGAAAAAAAAGATCATTGTGGAAGTACCTTGAACTATTCAGAAACTTTATGAAATATTGGTACCAAATTAAAAGTAAAGTTATTTCAAGACATAGTGGTATTGTTTTTTTCCTTTTCATGTGTTGTCATGACTAACTAAGGAGGAAAAGTTTTCTAGGATACATATAGCCAATATTAGGTAAAAGAGTCTTTACTTCAGCAGGAATCTTCTTAACCTGTACAAACTTGATATTGTCAATGCAGTATATCTATGTTGAATGAGTTGATCTATTTGTAGAACTTTTTTTTTTTTTTTGGTAGATGAGTCCAAAATCCAGACCAAGAAAGTCACCTCTGACCTCTGGCAGACAGAATTGATTTTCAGCAAGGGAACTTAATCTTTTGTGAACAAAAAATGTAATGCCCAAATAATGCTCTGAGATATTGCTTATGTACAAATGGGTACTGAAAAATGGTGTTTCTTTCGAAAAGTTTAATGTATAAAAGAAGAAGTAAAGGGAAATTCTGTACTCAGTGAAGTTAATTATTTTTCCATTGTCTTCTAGAAGGTCCATTTTCATCTTCAGTTTTACAAAAATAGACTATCCGGGTGAGTAAATGCAATCTAGCCAAGCTGTAAAGAAATGTCACAGTAGTAGAGGTCCTCTACATTTTCAGCCTTTAATGGTACATTTAGAGCAATGTGTGTCTTTTCAATTACACTTGATTTTTGAAACATGGAATGTGGATATTCTCAGTTCAGTCAGAGAGAAAATGGAGGGTTTCTAGCCAGGCAGGAGCCTGGGAAACAGTTGGGATTAGCATGAGTTCCTAGTGACACAGAAAGTCTGCGGGGACTCATGCTAATCCCAACTGTTTCCCAGGCTCCTGCCTGGCTAGAAACCCTCCATTTTCTCTCAGATGAACTGAGAATATCCACAATGGATGAAAATACTAGCATCAATTTTTTTATGAAATGAAGCTACATTTACATCCTGAAAGACAGGATGCCAATTGCTTGACTGACCGACACACATCTTGAAAGGAAGGGAAGCACAATGAATGCACTTCCTCTTTGAGTCAAACCCCAGTTCTAAAAAAAGAATCACTGATAATAACAACAAAGTAGTTATATGAAAAGGGTGAAAAACTGTCAAGGTAAAAAGGGGGAAAACATAAGCAACAAGATTATTGAAGAGATACAGAGGATATTGTGCCTTTGTCAATGATATTGGTGTGCTGTATAAATTTTAGCTACTGTAAGAAAAAGGAAATTTATCTTTTGTTGTTTATCTTAAACAAATACGGCTTCAAATAAACTGCTTTAAAGAATAGATTTCTTTAAAACCCTACCAAGTTTCATCTTCCAGTTTAACCTTCTCTATTTCTTACACCAGGACTTCTGAGGTGTCTGTTGTTTTTTTTTGGTTACATTGGTACAATGGGCATATAACTGATTCTTCTGTGAAACCAAACATATTTCTCTAATTATCATGAATGTATTATATTACCTAGCCTCTTTGGATTTTTACTGATGATAGTATTTGCTGACTTTTCAAAGGTATATTAGTTGACTATTTTAGGTATAGCAAGCATTGTGTTTTCTAATGTAGGTATAGGAAATACTTCTTAGCCCATCTAATGACACCAGAAGGAGTTTGGATAATTTTATCATCTTAGTCTAAGTGGTTGTGGTATACTAGTAGTAAAGTCAAACCCTCCACCATTCTCCTCAGTACAAGTTTGTTAAAGCTTTTCCTAGCAGCCTGTATTTCCTACAAACAACAGTCAACATGTAAGCAATGCCTTGCATTTAAATAAAGGTCTGAATCTGTGAGCCAGACTGTATAAATTTACAGACTCCAGACATTCCAGAATCTGTAAAATTTTTATTTTTTTGGGACATCTGTTATTTTGCTAAACCTGATCATCAAGCAAAGACCTTTGTGTTCTCCACTAACTATGATTAACCATCTGGCATCTATCTGTAGATTTAGTTTCCCAAACCGTAATTTCTTTCCAGTGCTAAGCCTAGGCGAATGACCAGGGGCCTCCATTGGCATCTGCCTTTCTGTTATTTTTAAAAATTACTTCCAGTATTTCTGCCCAGTACTTAGCACCCTTGTTTACTTTAGAGTATTTCCAGCAGATGGGGAAGAATGTTCCATTTTCCTCACATTCAGCACATTTCCAAAGAATGCTGATTTTTTTTTTAGAGCTATAATGGAACAAGATACCACTGGGATAATAGGTTTCAAAAGGGATTTCTTTCATGGCTGCACTTCTTGATGGCCATAGAGATCTCTTAGATGCCACTGTTCACCTTGGTTTGTGTTGCTTTGATTATGACATAAAAGCAGAAGCATAGTCTGTAGAATGAATCTGCTCTAAAGAAGTACTCCAGGCCTTCTCCCCTGCTTTGTACAGCTTTATATTCATGCTAACTGTGGCTAACAGTTACAACTGAGAAAACAAACAGCTGCTTCAGATTACAGGAAGAGCAATATAGTGCTCAATTCCAAGATAAGGATTGTTAAAAAAGCGGAAAAAACCCACTGCAACATTGTCTGTAGTTTTCCTCCTGGTTTGGAAGAGTGCCATATTTGTATGCTGTGAAGGTTCGTGGAAGCTTTGAGTTATAAAGGCAAACACAACAGTTTTGGTAGTGCTTTATGCCAGTGACATGGTTTCTCTAGCCTCTGTTCAATATACAGGTTTTGTAGTCTAAATATATTGATTAATACCTCTACATGACTGGAAAGCACACACTTTTCATGCACTTAGCAGTGTTGGGAAACCAGTTAAGCTAAGGTGAAGTTATGCTGATGTGGTTTACTTTTAAGAGTAATGCAGATGGTTCTTTACTCCACTTGTGTAATGTATTATCAGAAAGAAGAAAAGCTGCTGCTTTCTATTTGTATATTTTGTGGCTCACTCTCAATTTTTACCAAGGTAATATTCTCAGCAGACAGACTACTATATTTCCACTAAAACAATTCAGTGTCAAGCCCAGGAAATATAGATAAGAAATTAAATAGAAGCATTGATCTAAACTTCGTGTTTAAATAATTATTGGTAACAAGAAGTCTGCCTTCCCATTTTATTCATCCACCTGTTCATCTAAATCAGGCCTTAAATCAGTTTTAAATGTACTGAAGTCAATGTAGTTTAGAAAGCTGTCACAGAAGTTTCTGAAACTTTTTGATCTTGTGTTAAGAAAGGCTGCGGGCAGTGTAGTATGATAGGAGTCTCTGTATGAATAAAAAAATATTATACAGGACACAGAACACACTCAAATAACATTGGTGGGAAAAGTCCAGGGAAGGATCATAGGAGTAGGTTACGGTTTCTAATGTTTCCAAGTTGTAACACAGGCAGAAGCTATTTCAGAGCTGGAAAGAAGATTCTGGAAGAGTGAGTGTAGAAAATCATGCAGTGCTCAACAAGCTCATGATTTGGCAGGTGAATTTCCCCTTCAAAACATGCTCATAGCCTGTAGCTCCTGGCATCTTGCCTGCTTTTCTGGTTTGAAATGGGAGGAGTGAATTTCCATGTATAAAAGTACTTTTGTCTACATTTCACCTCAAATAGTTGTTGAGCAGCTGCCACACTTTCTAGCTGGCCTTAAGCCTCAAACCCTGTGACAGAGAAACTTTTTTTTTCTAAATCACTGTGGAACATACTTTTTTTTTTTTGTGATTTTTAAAAAATATAAACATTTTAACTACATTGGAAATACTGTTCAGATACAAATTGGACTTTCTTTTAAAGAAGCCAAAAATATCTGGGGAGAAAGATACTAGTATTTTTATTTTCACTTTCCCTATTAAATAATTCAAAGCTTGTTCATGCTGATTACAGCATTTCCTCTTCTTGTAATGTTCTCTAAGAGAAACACCCATATAAGCATTGCAGAAAATGGGTCTACATGTATTTAATTTTCCTCTTCACCTCAGGTATATAAACGATCCTAAAAAAAGATTGTAAAATTCTAAAAAATGTTTTGAGTTACTAACAAACATGAAGAATTTATACACACTATATCTTGAGGCTCTTGTGACACAAGACATAAAGGGTTCTGAAAGTTCTGCTGCACTTATCTACTAGTGTATTTTGCAGTGCAATTGCATCCTATTAACATTGTTTTAGAATTGACTAGAACATCTGAAGCTAAGTCAGTGCTTGATTCTTACTGGCCCTATGTTCCTCTACAATTATTTTACAATACATATGCAAGAATTCCAAGAGCTGTACTTTTCGACTGGCCTTGCCATCTCCCATTTTAGACAATATGTTTACATCTCTGGCTTCTAAAAATAGTAACAGGAATGAGGTGCTTTGCAGGAAGACTAAAGAGCATTCTGTAAAAGATTCTTCACAATAATGAAGTTAAAAGAGCATGTATTTCTTATTTTACACACACTGCTGACATGTTTGAAGGAGCATGGGCTATTACCATTAATTTAAAAAGAGTTAATAGTTAGATAAAGTCTAAGGAATCATGCATATGTGATAATTATACTTTATCCACTGCTAAAATGCAGCCCTCTCCTAGGGGGAAACAGTGGCTGTTCGAAAGTGCTTGTCAGCACTACAAGGATTCTCTGTGTCAGATAACCAGTGACTGATATTAATGAGTGACTTGAGAATACCACCATTTTCAGTAATTAACTGCAAATGGGCATCATGCATGGCTGAATCGAGAAACCAATATATTTTTGCTGTATTTAACCAAAATAGTTTCATTTTCCCCCCTCTATGTAGTCTGCTTATTTCAGTTATAAATTTGGGGATTACAGGGTTTATTTCTTGTAACATGTTTGCAAAGTAAGAAGCACAATGAGGTTTAAATCTTCACAGGAATGCCTAGCTGCTACTTTGGTATGAGGGAATAAATTGCAAATGGTTAAAAATAAGTAGTTACATCTTATGTATAAAAGAAGCACTTTAGTGCAATTGGAGCCTAATGGAACAAGAATGAATAGCAAAAGATTTGCCTGCAGCTTGGGAGAGTATGGATGCAGTCTGAGACAATGCTGGCTTCTGCCACATGCTGTATTTCCAGTTCTGCTGACTGCAAAGTGAAAGAATATTTTGCATAATGGAATTAGCTTTTTTTTTTTTTTTTTTTTTTTTTTTTCTGTATAAGCCAACTGCATGAACCACACCTTAAATGGCTGCTCTTTTATAAATCACAATACAGATTACTCTCATATGCCCTGCTGCTCTGTGACGTTGAGATCTTTCATAAACATATTTATTGCTTACTTTCCTAAACTCCTGCTAGACACTATTTAAAGTACTCACTGGTGAGATCTCAATTGAAACTGGGTAGGTATTACCAGAAAGTCAAAACTGTTGGCATTGTCCTGGTATTTTATGGCATAGTTGTATGATGCTACAAAGCTTGGGTGTATATATAAAACACTCCTGAGGTGGTGTGTGAGCCGGCTACGTTGGTGCTGGCCACTGTGAACAGGTGGCTTGAAAACCAGTGCCTGATCACTGCAGAAGGTGGCCAGAAATCCACGGGAAGAGAGACTCTATTAAGATGACAATGGGAAGAGAAACAATAAGCTTCTCTGGGTCTGCCTGGAAAGAAGGTTCTCGTTTTTGAACACAGAAACTTGATTCTAGTGCTTTTTTCTTTGTATGTAGGAAGCATAACCCTGCTGATATTGAAAAATAATCAGACCAAGTCGGAGACCATGCTACTTATCTCTCATGGATCTTATTCATATTTATTTACTAGTCACTTAGGATCTGTGCAATAGTTGCTCTCACAACTACTCTGTGAATACTTTCCTACTTTCAGGAATACCTCCCTGAAAATTCTTAATTTTACTCAAATCACATTGTGAGGTTCACCTCACAGGTGAAACAGGCATCATGTGGTTCCTCCTCAGTTCCTTCCCTCCCCCTTGCAAGAGCTTACCAGCATGCTTCTGTATGGACACATGGGACTTAGAGCTCATCACACAGAGTTCCATATTGTTGTTCTTCTGCTCTGTTCTGTTGAACTAGTCCCTACAATTTCTTCTTTGCAGAGGTTGGGGTGGAAAGTGGAAGTTCTGGTTTTAAATTAATGTATCTTATTAATCTATTGAAACACCACTAAAACAAGGGAATGTGACATACCATTTTTATAAAGCAAGTGACCTTTTTTCCAGAGTACACAGCAGAAATTTACTGATGATCTGAGATAGCCATTTGTGTTTTCCAAGACGCATGTTCAACATTCAGCTGACATTCCTTTGCATTTAAAACCAAAACCAAACCACACCCAAATACCCCACATCACCTGGTATTCATATTCAATGTTTTCTTAGTCATTGCACAGACAAAAGTACACACTCTGGGAGACCTGCCCAGGAAAACTGGGTAATCAGTTTAAAAATGACAAACTGAAAGTTTTCGTCCAAAAATATAGTGCCCGACCAAATGCATGTCAGTACAGTGAGGTGGTACACAACACTGCAACTAATTGCAGGTGCTTAATGTTGTGACATGGTTGTTTTACTGAGTTCACATGTTATAATTTCCAATACTACACCACTATTAATCTGTGTTGTTGGCATTGAGGGCTTACTACTCTTCATCCTACCATGTAGGTAACAGCTGGAGGATCAGTGCTCCCGATTTCAGGAGTCTCCCATAACACAAGACAGGAATATGCCCTTGCAAAATTCAGACTTTTGAAGAAATCCAAAAGGTTGTCTAATAAAAAATGTTATAGAATCACAGAATTGTTCAAGTTGGAAAAGACCTCTAAGATAATTGAGTCCAACTGTTAACCCAGAACTACCAAGTCTACTACTAAACCATGTCATGAACTATGATATTAAGGATTGCTTTTAAACATCCTCAGGCATGGTGACCTGACACTTCCCTGGGAAATCTGTGCCAATGCTTGACAGCTCTTTCCATGAAGAATTCTTTTCTAGTATGCAATGTAAACCTTCCCTGGTACATCTTGAAGTTTCCTCTTGTCTAATTTCTTGTTTCTTTGGAGAGAGGGCTGATCCCCACCTGGCCACAGGCTCCTTTCAGGCAGTTGTAGAGAGTGAGAAGGTCTCCCCTGAGCCTCCTTTTCTCCAAGATAAACACCCCCAGCTCCCTCAGCTGTTCCTCACAGGACTTGTGCTCCAGACCCTTCCCTACCTCCATTACCCTTCTCTGGACTCACTCCAGCTCCTCAGAGTCTTTCCTGCAGAGAGGGCCCAGAACTGGACACAGCACTCGAGGTGTGGCCTCACCAGTGCCCAGCACAGGGGGACAATCCCTGCCCTGGTCCTGCTGGCCACACCATTGCTGATCCAGGCCAGGATGCCATTGGCCTTCTTGGCCACCTGGGCACACCCTGGCTCATGTCCAGCCATTGACATGATCACCCCCAGGTCCTTTTCCACAGGGCAGAATCCTCTTGAAAAGGGCAGCTTTCCAGCCACTCTTCCCCCAGCCTGGGACTGCTATGATCCAAGGACGGGACCTGGCACTTGGCCTTGTTGAACCTCACACCGCTGGCCTTGGCTTCTTGATCTATCCTGTCCAGATCCCTCTGCAGAGCCTTCCTGTCCTCCAGAAGATCAACATTCACACTCATCTTGGTGCAATCTGTGAAGGGCCTGAGGGTGCACTAAATCCCCTTATCCAGATCATTGACAAAGATATTAAATAGAAATGTCCCCAGTGCTGAGCCCTGGGGAACCCAACTCAAGACCGGCCACCAGCTGGATGTAACTCCACTCACCACCATTCTCTGGGCCCAGCCATCCAGTGAGCAGAGCACTTGTCCAAGCCATGGGCTGCCAGCTTTTTCAGGAGAATACTGGGAAATGGTGTCAAAGGCTTTATAGAAGTCAGACAGTATCCACAGCTCCTTCCTCAGGAGATCAGGTTTATTTGTCTTCCTCAGGAGACTTGCCTTTTATAAATCCATGCTGGCTAGGCCTGATCTCCTGATTGTCCTGCAAGTGCAGTGTGATGACACTTAAGATGACCTATTCCATGTCCTTCTCAGCATCAAGGTCACGTTGACAGGCCTGCAGTTCCCCAGATCCTCCTGCCAGCCTGTCTTGTATTTGGGCATCATATTTGCTCGCCTCACGTTAACCTAGACCAGCCTTGTCAGCCAGGATTACTGATAAGTGACAGAAAGAGTCTTGGTGAGCTCTTTTGCCGGATCCCTCAGTAACCTTGGGTGGATTTCATCTACTCCCATCTACTTGTGGGGCATTGGATAATTGACTATGTCCCCTTGGATTAAAGGGGCTTCATTTTTCTCCCCATCTCTGTCCTCCAACTCAGCAGGCTAGGTATCTAGAGAAAAACTGGTATTGTTATTAAAGACAGAGACAAATAAGGCATTAAGTACCTCTTCTGTTTTCTCCTTTGTCACAATGTTTCTCCCCATATGCAGTAAAGGATGGAGATTATCCTTACCTCTTATTTTGTTGCTGATATATTTATAGAAACATTTTTACTCTCTTTTATGTCAGTAAGCATATTAAACTCTCTTTTAGCTTTGGCCACTCTCTAGTTTTTCTCTAAAAATTCTCTTTTGACCTGAGACTTGATTTCTGTTATGAAAATGTATTTTAAAATAGCTTGAAAGGCAATTTTTCAGACTAACTCTAGGTTTAAAATTCTTCATAGACATGCTTGACAAGAAGTAGTTCACACCTGTGGTGGCATTTCTTTGAAGATTCTCTTCATTTAGAGAACATTTTGACACAGATCTCAGACATGTCTCAGCCTCAGCGGTCAGGTGAGGGATTTAATTTTGTCTTGAAAAATGTTTGGAATAAAAAAATATTGGCTTGGCTGCCAATGTAATACTGTAACTTAGTTAAATAATACAGTGTGGTTATGCATAGCAACTGACAGAAAACTCCCACCCAAACTGATGTGTGGAATGCAGAATTTATCATGCTCTTGCAGATTGTAATGTTGCAGAAATGCATATGAATTGATGTCTTGATAGAGCTGAGGAGATGGGCTAGGAGGCAACTAAAGCTTCTACTGGTGTAAGAGCATAATGAAAGAAAACCATAAACAAGTGACATCTAGTGCAGAAAAGTTGTTCATGTTTTAAATTAGGATAGTTTAAGTCATCACTTGAAGCAATTAATATTTGTTAGTTTGAACTGTCCCAATTATTGAGTTGAGCCCAATATTTGCATTAGTAAATTTGTATTATGGAATTAGAATGCTAAACTAGGGAGTTAGCTAATACGGATTTTATTTTCACATCATTTGGTTGGCACAGTAACACAAGAAATTTTCAGACCAACCTGTTGCCTAAAGTAGTGTTTGTCAGTAAGAACTGAACCCATCCTATAGATTTACAGTGGCCTCTGTGGTTTGAATTGATGATTTTGATTCAGCTCACAGAAGTCAGTTGTAAGCACCGGCCTTTTTAATCTTAAAGTCAAGTTAAAGAACAAATAAACTTGTAATTTAGATTTTACTGTGAGAGTTTTCCATTTGGTACAAATGGAGAACATGACAACCTCATCATGCCCTCATCACTTTGCTATATTGAAGCTGCAAATACAGCTATGCATTCTCAAGTGATCTTCATCCAGCATCTTTTTTGGGGTGCAAATGATGTGCTGAGCTGCTTACCAAAGAAAGGGTGGTGCCCAAGAGAGGTTATGCTGACCACAAGTACTGTGTCTGGCATCCCTTCATGGGTGGTACTACAAGGCAGCAGCTTTTTAATTTGGATCAGCTAGGGAATGTGAAAAAAACCCATCCATTGTCATGATGAGTGTTATGTGATAGGTTCAGTCAGAGTTCACAAAACATGTCAGGAGAGCAGCTGGAATGTGCACTTTATGGATTAGTTTGTTGAATCTCTGTTCTGTAGTTTGGGAGGGCAGAATGGTATTGTAATTCTAAAAACCCTGCCTATTCTCTTCCACCATCTAAGGAGATTATGAAGATGAGAGGACAAGGAGTGTTAAGGAGACAAAGAGCTAGTCTCAGCTGGCAGCTCTGTGCCTTTCCTAGTCCAGAGAGTAATCACACAAAGTAATTGCCAAGAGAAGGTTTCGCTTAATTTTTCTGAAGATATAGGCTGTTTCCAGTCCTTTCCTACTGCTCAGAAGTTGTGGTTCCAGGCTAAGATGCCAGTGTCCTGAGTGAACAGTCCATAGCCATGGGTAATGTTGTTTTCCAGTCTGCCAGTGACAGCACTGTGACTACTAAGGCACTTCCCCAGTGGAAGCCTTGTAGCTGAGCTGGCCAAGGTGGCTTTTGGTCAAGAATAAGCATAGCCAGTGGTCAGGCTCTGCTGTCAGACTGACTCTCTGCACTGTACCCTGAGAAAAATAATTTATCATCTTTATGTTTCAGCCCTTAAATTGCTTCCTGCATTCCATTTATGACCTGATTGTCATAAATACAGTACACTCAAAGCAAGTTCCCGTAAGGAGGGAATATATAAGCCACATTTTAGAGGCTTAACACTGAGCACTAAAGTTAGCTCCCACCAGCCACAGTTCTAAGAAGCCACTAATGGAAATGTATTGTCTAAGCTTTCTGCCTTAGTTTCTTTGTATGTGACATTGGGCTAATACTATTTACTAATCTATGAGGAAGTTTGCAGAAATGGAATGATTACTTTTTTGTTAAATGCTTAATTTCATTATAATATATAAATATATCCTACAGTTGGCTATGAGATATCTATGGCTTTTAGTAACCAGTTGCTATCATCACATAAAAGCTAAGAGGAAAATAAAACCGCTGTGAAATCAGACTATCTTCCTGTCTGCCACCTTACCAGAAAACACCAGAAGCATGAAAAAACTGATACTTGCTTTTTTAAAATTTGCATAAAGAACTGATTCCTGCTAGTTTTACAGTGTTCTTTTTACCTTTGTCTGACATGTGCTGATTTTGCATTTACAAAAATAACATTGAAAACTAGTGTTGATAGATCTGACAGTAAAATTAAATTTTATTTGTGAAAAAGAATTTGGAAAAGTATTTATTTCTATTATGTGAAACAATTGCCTCAGTTAAGAAAGTGGTGTCTGAATTAAGAACTAGTTCAGTAAAGGAGAAATATTGCTGGAAGTCCTTACACATTGATTTTTGTATTTCTGAAGCTAAGTAGTATGAGGTCTGCATCAGGAACACTATAGGAGAGGTTTCAGCTGTGCTTTTAAAGTGCCTATAAATGCAGCTTTTGATTAACTGTACATTAGGTATGTATGCAGTAGTGAAAACAATAAAATCCTAAAGTAAATTTATCTGGCATAAAAACCCCAACAGAACAGAAGGTAATAGAAGGACACTAAGGGCACAAATTGCTCTTCTTGGCATATGCCACTGAGAAGTCATTACATGGAAATTACCATGTGTACTAGTTATAATGAACCTTCTTATTGGACATGATTTTGTGTTTCATGAAGAAACCTAAGCAGTGACGAATCAGAGACAGTTTTCCCAAGACATGTCTTGAAATCTATAGGAAAAAAAAAAAAAAGGTGGCAAATTTATTTACAGGAAGAACAATCTTTTCAAAATATTTAGCTGAGAGAGAAAAAACACAAAGGCAATAACAAACTGCAAGTGCTTTCTGTCTGTAGTGTCTAGGACATTATGGAAAAATGGCTCAAATCAACAATGGGTGAAAAATCTTTATAAGATCACAACACAGTGAACTGTGGAAAATACACTAGACACTGTAAGAGGCCAGGTCATAGTACAAAAAATATTTTAGAGTTTCAAGTATTAGAATTTGCAAAATCATCCAGCTCTTTTGTGATAAACTTCCTACACAGGATGTCTCTCGGATCAATGCCTCAAGAGTGAATGAATCTTTAAGAAACTCCAGACTCCTAGATCTGAGAAATTTACATCTCTTGGGTGCTAGGATCGGACAGAAGAGGTGGCAGAGCCTCTCTCTGGATTCACAGAATTATTTAACAATTTGGTTTATATGTTCTTGCTAATAAATCTCTGCTTACTTCTGAGAGTCTACGGCAAGAACTGCTTCAGAAATGCTACAAGATTGGTGAATTTCAGAAACAAAATATGCAGTCTTTAAAACTGTATTGCATAACCAGTGTTTCTGGTCAAACCTTACATTTTTTTCTTCCTCAGATTATATTTACTCTCAGCTTCTTCTGTGAAAGATACAACTATAATCGTATCTTTCACAGAAGATACAATTATTTAAGTGCAGCCAACTATTCATGCACTGTAGGAAAGTCTCCCTTGTCTCCCCTCACAGCCTTCAGTGTGAATGCAAAGCTACTTTCAGCTCAGCTGGCAAGTTGAAAGTATAGCTGAAGTTTGTGGCACTGTGTGTGAGAAGGGGATCTGCTTCTTCTGCCTGTTCTCCTCAGTTCTACTCTTACCAACTAACCTTCCTGATGTAATCCTGAAAGGAAAGGCTATGACTGTGGGGTCTTTTGTAGTGGTCATGATGGCTAGAGACACACTGGGAGAGCTGGACCAAGCCTTTTTTTAGTGCATTAGTGCATTCAGACAGTTTCAGTCTGCTCCTGTGTGATACAAGGAACCCTGCCACATTCTTCTTCCAAAGGATGGAATTCCACATGCTGAGCATAGAAACCTGTACAAAAGTGCAGGAGGGCACATGTGTGTAGAGTCAGATAATACTCTTAGACAGGTATGAACATACCCTTGACTGCAGGTTCTTCTGGCATTTGCAGAGCCACAGAAAGTCAAACTGTGATGCCAAGTCCCTAAAACATAACAATCAGTGAGATGGGAATGGCAACTTGACTACAAAAGGCTGTACAATGTAAGTGATCAGAGATGCTGGATCTGATGACCCAGCGTCGTCCCTTCCAACCTGACCATTCAGCAATTCTGTGATTGTGTGACCTCAGTAGCAGCTGCATCAGGCAGGCCCTTGTCAGTGTTGGCTGTCTGTGAGGAAAAGCTGGACTTTAGGACGGGGTTAATTTTTGTCTCCCTGTCAACCTCTTTACATCAAGTACTCATCTGTGCCCTTGGTCTGAGGTGGCTCTGAGGCTGGACAGTGGACAAACTGATCTAAACTGCCTCCATTATCATGGTAAGCTTTTGCACAAATAGGGCCAGCACAGAAAAAAACTCAGAATCTAAGGAATTTCCTATGATTCTCTGAATCTTCAGAAAACCCTATGAAAATAATGAGAAAAAAAATTCCACTTTTAAAATACAAAGGTAAATAATGTATACTTGCAATATTTCTCCTAAATCATTATGAAGATGCTAATGCAGAGGAAAAGGTGTGATGAGCCATGCTGACAATATGATCACATGAGCTCTTTAAGCCCTCCTACAGTTGTTTGAAAAGTTGATATGCTTTTATGTCCCAAAGTGGTAGCTATGATGTTGCTGATATTTTGCAGTGGAAAAATATATGGATTGTGCAGACAATCCTTTGGCGATGGTAGCAGAATGCAGTCTGTTAAGTGGTGAGGGAACAGAGATCTCCACCTTTGCCAGTGGTAGAGGTATTTGAAATACTTTATTAGGAGTGAATTTTAGAGGCTATAGCTTCCTCTGTAGGTATTTATACAAGAAAATTAGCCTGCTCATCAGATATTTTGCTCAGCAATAGAACAGTGTTTGAAAGATCATTGTAATAATGGGTGGTCCTTTGTTATACATGTGAATGTTTTTCTCTCTTTTAAATAACGGACTAAGGCTTATCACCTGCACAGTTTACTAGTAGAGTGGACCAGTCCATTCAGTATGAATGTATAAGCAAATGGTTCACTGCAATAAAGGCTGCTTTTAAAAGCATTTTGAAATTATGTTCATAGGAATCGTATAAGGAATGTTGAGCCTATGCCAGTGAGGAGATACATTGTGTTTTGTTCAGAAAATATATCCTTTGTGCATATATATTATCTTAGCTGCCTGCGCCAAGCTGAACTCCGCAGACACTTGAATATTTCACACTCTGGGAATAAATACTCAGCTAGTGTCAGAGAAGAGTGTGCCAGGATTATTTAATCATTAGACAGAGAGGAAAAAAAAATCTCTGCCATGACCTACTGACCAGACATTTCTTGGCAACTGCTAATCAACCGTGTTAGCCTTTTATTGTCTCTCCTGCCATTATGTTCCAGGAAAGGTCTGAGCAAAAGGTCGGAGCAACTTAACTAGGTATTGGTTCATTTGTTATCTTTCATGCAGTATGCTGCAGCCAACAGTCTGCTCTCCATTGAAGGTGAAATACTTCACCTTAATTTGTCATGTTCCTTTACTGTAGAATTTGGCAACCAAATTCAAAAGATAATACTTTCTGGTGGAAACACTTCTGAGAATAATTTTTAATGCTTTCTATGAGCATTAATTTTTGAAATATCTATATTAGGTAAATCGCAAACTCCTTCCTTACTGTCAATCTACAGAAAAAACACATTAGAAAAGTGGCCTGGATCTCAGCTCAGATTATTAGCTCCTAAGACTGTCTCTATTAAGAACTGTATTCTATACTTACCTTTGAACAGGCAGTTGGATGTGCATTCCTTTCCTGAAAAAGCTTTTCCTGGGTGGCAGAACCCCAGAAAAAAAACATTAATACCGAGAAGATGATGAGGAAAAAATGGGTAAATTATAGGAAAAATTCACCTTGCACCTGCCTTCTGTCACACAAATATATTGTGTAGACAGTGGTAACATGCATGGTAACAAGTGACTGCACCTGAAATTCTACATTTTAAAAAGGAATTTAATTTGAAAGACAGTGTTATCTTTGATAAGAAATTGTTCATTATTCCAATTTGTTCACCCATGCTGCTTTAACAAAACACTGCTGAACAGGAAAACCAGAAACCTGATTGCTTGTTTTCTGGGAATGGAAGTGTCTAGCCTAAAGCATGGGGGAAATTCTCTCCATTTCTTTCTTGTTGTAATACTGGAAACATTTAAAATTTGTTCAAGCTTCTATGGGAAGCCAGCACAGACTGCTCTATCTTCATCTCCAGCATAGGACAGCAACTGGCAAACAAATGAGTCCCACCACAGCTTTCATGGTTGCCATTAGGCAGGCCCCAGGACTCCTGGACCCTGGACACGCAGGGTTATGCAAGAAACGAGAGAGATCCACCTTGTCTCTCAAATCCACCAGTAGCAGTTGTATCATGTAATCAGCCTCTTCTGAGGGATCTCAGTAGATAGCTAAAGGCATGATTTCATACCCACTAAAAAGGGCTAATGTGGCAAAGGAGTTACAAATGTTTTACCTCACTAGGATTTCCTTGTTGTGCCATTTGGTCTTCCCCCACTTCCACATGCTGTTCCATTCCCAAGCAGTTTATTGAACTAAAGATAATTCATCTCTGCCAGAATGGTTACTTTAGGCTTTCATTCTTGAAAACAAACCTCATTCTTGTTATTGCCAGAGCTGTAGGAATTGGATTTCCCTTATCTTCTGTGCAATCTGCACCAAAACCGTTTTCTTTGTACCAAGTGGTAGTGGCATAAAGTCTTCAGTGAAACTTTAATGTTTCTAGGAAATAACTTATGAAGCATTTGTCTATTGTATGAAGCCACACAGACAGGTACAAAGTGGCATAAGTCAGCACAGAGATTTTGGGACTTGCAATAGGTGGAGTTTCAAGCAGAGAAGCTCGGAGGCTCTGTAGAGCAGAGAGAGCAGCTCAGCCAGTGACCTTGTGGAGCAAATACCAGTCTGCTATACTGCATTAGAAATTCTGGACTTTTCAGTGAGGCTGGCTTGAACAGGACTGGTCAGGTGCAAAGACAGAACATGCCAGAATTGATTTTTCCTTTAAAAGTGCATGCATCTGTCATGCAATGTTTTTTGCATCTAGCCTCAGGGAGTAGGTTATCTGGAAGGTCCAAGCACATGAGCTTTTTAGTCTTATGTTTTTCATCAAGAAGCTAGATGTTTACATGACTTGTTGAATTTGAGCTTTATACCCTGACATTCGTGTGAGATGTTTAAAAATAAAACTTTTTTTTATTTGTGTGCAAAAGTTCCCTCTACCCTGTGTTGCATCAGAGCAGCTGTTGCTGTTTTTTTCTTTCTGGGACTGTCTGTGACAGCCACCAGCCATCCTATTTACAGTCGTTAGTGCAAGGAAATTGGAAACTGCAGATACTGGAACATGATAATCTTCTTCTTCATGTCAGGTTTGTCTTTTACTGTGACACAGCAAAATAAATGTTTGAACAGCTAATAAGACATTTATCTAGAGATAAGCAGAAGTGCTATGACCCTGTTGATTGAGCTGCTGATGTAGAGCTAATTTTGGACCGGCTTACTAGAAGTAGTGATACAGAAGTGTGACAAAAGGGGACAACCTCTCCCAGCCCACAGCCCATCTATAATCAGAAGTGGAGAATCCTCTAAAGCAATTGCAGCAAGATTTAGATAAGAACCCTGAAGCAAGCAAAGGCTGGTGTCTTTGTTAGCCTCTAGGAAAGGACAGCCTTGTGCAATGTTTAGTTAAAGGTTTATACCACTCATAAAGGTTATTGACTAAACAGCAGTCTAGTTAAATTTCCTCCAGTTCAGTGATGAAAGTGAAACAATGCCTAAAAACTCAGGACTGTGCAATCCTAATTTTATGAACATAACAGTACACAATTGCATTTTTGTCACTGAGGAGTATGAAGAATTAAATAAGACATAAATCTGTCTGTGAAATGAACAGTTTTGAACAGTGCATGCTAAAGGTCTGTCTGTTCCACAGGAATTAGTGTTTTGCTGTGCTTTTTAACTTGTTGAATTCACAAAACCTACAAACTTACAATTTAGAAAATGTGTGAAGAACAAAGAGACAAAAGACCTCAACTGCTAAAGCTGCCTTTTGAGTTTATTTTCTCAATCTTAAAAAGATTTTTTTTTATGGCACACAGCATCAGAATCAGCACCTTTGCATTAACAAACTACAGAGAAGCCCTGTCAATTTGTTGCCATAGTTCCAACTTCATATCATGCAGAAAACCTCCCTCTTTGTTCTTTTGTTCTATGAAAGGCTTAACACCACATTGCTGCAACAAAATCATGTTATGAGGGTTCCATTCACATAATAAATGTACTGCACATTAAATGCTGGTTTAGTAATTTCATCATAAATGAAAACTATAATGCAAATGCATATATATACATACACAGTGCAGATTTTGTTCTGTGCCATCTTATCTTGGTTTTTGTTATGCTCCAGATCACAACAGTATTGTTAGTGCAAATTAATGAGATTTAACTGTAAAGTTATATTTTAACAACCACTTCGACAAATTTCAACTAATTTAAGCCACTGTAATTAATTAATTTTCAGCATCTGGTTTGGTGAATGATTTCTCAAGCTCCTTTTCAGCATTAGATTTCTTCTGGTTTGGGATAGCAGGTAGGACACAGCTTGGTTTTAGATGCTCTCCTGACAGACCAGGCAAGAGAGAATAGAGGATCTGACTCTGAGAATGTCCTGTTTTTAGAGATCTGGATATTGGAGCTGGTGGGAGAATAACTGCACCAGTCCGTAGGGACTTAAACTTCTTAGCATCCTGAGACGGTAGCTGAACTAGAGGAAATAGAAAAAAAGAGAAAGTGCACAGAAAGTGAAAAGCAAGGCATTTTTACAAATGATTTTGCAACTTCCTTTGAACTGTTGTCTCTTAATGTGTGTACTCAAGCCTGTACTTGAAAAATGTGATCAAAATATTAATAAAAAATTGTATTTTTGTATTCAGATGAAGATAAGCCTGGCAAGGCTTATCTTCATCTGAAGGAAACTACTTCAGTGTTAAGTGATTTACTTCTGATTTAGTGACCAGTAAGTCTTGAAAAGGTCAAAGATTTACTTTTGATAAGCAGAGAACCCATTTGTTGTGAGAAGACTTGGTCTGCTTGAGAAATTTTTACAATATATTTTTTTTCATCAGAAATCACAGGCTGAGTGCAACAAAAATGTTCTATGAATATATTATTTGTAACAAAAATGCTCTATCGCTGAAGGTAAATGCTGATCAAAATCTAAGGAAGATGAAATAGAAGACTATGGGATGTTGTGTCTGGGTTTCTCTAGGCACAGTCAATCATAAAGTCAGGTCCACACATGCTCTGCTATTCACAGGCCACAAAAGTAGCCCACTACCCTGTAGCAAACCAAGACACACCAAAACACCTGAAGGGAACACCTGTTATGTATCTCTGTTGATGTCTTGTAAGAAACTGTGGATTTAAATCATCCTTAATCTCCACCTCACACTCATCAGTGAAACACTGTTTGTGCTTTAAAGCTAATATAGTTCTGTATTTTCTTTAAATTGAAATCCTTGGGCTCCTTCATTCAGACAACTCACTAATTTCCTGATTTTTTAAAATGAGAATTGAAAACCACAATTGTAGACCTACTTTTCTGTGCTGTCAATTTCTTGTGAATTGCATTAGCTTCTTTTAATTTTATCTCTATTTTATTAACAAGCTCTTTGTATACAAACAGTTTTGCTTCTTACAGTTTAAGCATATGAAGAGTTCATTCTGGAGTTACATCATCTCTTGTTGTGGCTACAGAATCTTCTTGCAATTTTTTACATTCATTTCTCATTGCATTTGTGATTTCCTTCCATCTGCATATTTGTGCTGAATTATCTGAGAGGCTATTAATACTTTCCTCTGAATTGTTCTAGCTGGAAATTTTGTGCTTAATTTAATTTGCCCCATTGAAAAAAAAATGTTACCTCTTTAATGTCTGCAGTGGGCCCTCACTGCATATTATTTGTCTATCTATCTATATCTATACCATCTATCTATATCTATATCTATATAATCTATATCTATCTATCTATCTATCTATCATCTATCTCTCTATTTTAACTATATACATGGTCCAAAAGAGGCTAAATTTCTTGTCATAATCCCCTGTACCATGCACGTTATATTAATTTAATAATTGATTATTTCTTTTTCAGGAGCAGTACTTTTCTAAAGCTTACCATGTATGGATTTAGGGCAAAGCAGGGTCTTTATAGAGAAGATTTAGAAACTTGGTAGATTAATTTCTTTTTAAGCTAATTTCAATTACTATTGAAGTTGTGATTACCTGAGCAGAAGTGTTTACTACAACTGCCCGTACACAGCCTCTGGCAGTGTACTGTAATTCATGGGTCATATTTAAGATTCATTCATTATTTAGAAATTCAGTAAAACACTTCTCCTTACCATGAAAAACACCCAAACCATTAATACTTTGCTTTATCTGGTGCTGAATTTGTGTGAATCTGGGAGGGTTATATACAATAAATGAGCCCATTTGTTTTCTGGCACATGGTAGAATGCTTTGTGTTTGCTGAAATTTTGGTGTGCATTCAATAAATGTTGAGAGGCTCACTTCTGTCCCTCTTTGGAACATATTCATATGTTAATATATTCAAAGTTCACATCTGTGTGAAAAATATCCATAAAGTTTTATGTACATCATTAAAAGCCTTAAATGATGGACTAAAGTAGGCCAAAACCACTGTAGCTTAATTTCACCCCCACAACAGAGCAGCCATCACAAACTCTTGCTCATTCAAAGAATCCAAACATCAATGCTTTCCACATTGTTCCACATACTGTGTTCAGTTTAGGATATCCAATTTAGGGTCTCAGGACTGGTACATGGATGGCTCTGAAACAATGCATATAATGACTAGTATTAGTACATGTATTGAAACACAGGAGCCTGGACTCAGAGCTGGGATGTGTGGGAGGCAGAGCCCTCAAGGCCCCAGGAGCTACATACAGCAAAAGCACCATTAATGATTCATACACAGAGGGCAGAGTCAGCCACCAAAGACCTGAACAGTAGACCTACTGGTTCAGGAAGCCTTTTCCACTCAATAGAGACTCTGGAGTAGCTGCTATTACAAACTACAGAGGTAAAAATAAGGCTGTCAGAAGGCCATTGCCCAAGAAGTATGGAGTCCAGCAGAAGAATGGGTCTTAGACATGAAGAAGTGAGAACAGCAGAGTTCTCCAGAAGTCCCATATTTGTTTGAAAAATTATTCTGGCATTTTGTGAGGAGTGTGTGACAGTCTGTTTTCCAGGGGTTGGTGGAAGTGCTGCATGATGAGATAGAAAGAGTGCATGGGTGATGAAGCAGCAGCATGCAGAATAGGAGATGCAGTCTGTGCTGAGGCTACTCAGGAGGTCATGTGAGGGATCTCTGGCCCTGGGAATATCTGAAGGGTGAGAATTTATTGTTTAAAATCACTTAAGTACTCTTACCAGGCAAATGTTTCATTCCTATTTTCCTCTTTCTAATGTGTATTTAAAAATATTTTTACTGAGAGATTTAATAATTTCTTCCTTCTTTTTTCATTGCCCTTCCTTTTTTGGGGGAGATACTTCTTCTTTCTGTCAATCTCTGAGTAGTTTCAGTTCTCATTCTAGTTTTGCTTATTGTTCCAGTTTCTTGGTAATGTTTTTTTTTTTTTTTTTCCTTCCTTAGTGTATTTTTAACACACACCTTGTGTGTTAAAAATATTAGAGAAAACACAAATATTTATACTCAATCTTTGTTGCTGGAGCCCTTTGCCTGGATAAAGGCTATTTTCAAAAGCGTAATACTTTTAGGGCTGGATGGAGGATGAGTGAAATCTCAGACTGAGATGAGACTCTGAAACAGTTATTTAGAAAGCTTCAGGAGCAGATATGTCATTTGTGTAAACAAGAAATACAATCTATTTTGCAAATAATTTTGCTTTTCTCTTACTGGCTTGAACTAATGTTCAAGCAGTAATGGCACCTGGATAAATGTGCGGTGTTTGTTAATTAAACCATGATTCTTAATTGTGACAATTTTATCTTATTTGTTAAACAGTTTTTGGCCTGAGACTAGAATTAAATTCTTGACCATTCGTATGAATTACTGTGAGAACAACAATTATTATGAGAGCATTTTTAAAGATTTTGCTTACAACTATGATTTAACTAGAAGACACAGAGAACATGAGTAGAAAGCTTAAACAATAGAATGCTTGGACCTAGGGTTTTAAAAGCAATTAAAAGCAATGAAATTATTTTCTTCCTTCTGAGCAGACAGAGAACACCACCTCAGTAATTCAAGCACCTTTTCTTCTTCCTGTCTCATGTAGAAAAAACAGCAGCAGTACAGGATTCTGTATATCCCCATCCAGTCTGATGGTCCCTCTAAGGCTGCCTCTGCCTTAGTAATATTGTCATCGCTGCAGAATTGCTTCTGATATTCAGCTTAAAAGCAGCAGGGAATCTTAAATTTAGGTCTGAATGCTTTTGGACCTGGCTGATCTGCAGGATGACAGTCAGTAAACTGTAAATCCTCATCCAGTATACAGTGGAGATTTGTGCTTTGTGGAGCACAAAAATGTGGACACTGCTGGGAGTAGGGCTGATGTCTGTGTATGAAGAAAACTCCAGTTGCTGGCTTGATCCAGCCTGGAACAATCACGGTCTTGACACTCTGCTGGGACTCTGGGAGTGGGGTTAAGCTTTCTGGCTCTTTGGGACCACTGCTTCCCAAGCTGAACATGAGCCAGCAATGTGCCGATGCAGAAATACACCCAACAGTGTCTGGGGCTGCACCAGGAAGAGCACTGCCAGCAGATTGTGACAGGTGATTCTTCCTCTTTACTCAGCTTGGGTGAGACACATCTGGAGTTCTGAGTCCAGATGTGAGGTTCCTGGTACAACAGGGAGGGGGACATACTGAAACAAATCCAATGGAGGGCAATGGAGATGACTAAAGGAGTGTCAGCCTTAAAGGGGAGACTGACTGTTCTGGGACTGTTCAGCCTCAAGAAGAGAAGGCAGCTCAAAGGATCTTGTCAATATATATAAATGTTTGGGGAGTAATGGAGTAGGAGACAGACTTTTCACAGTGGAGTCCTATGGAGGGAAAAGAATCAATGGCCACAAGTAAGTACTAAGAAGCTTTTTCCTCTGAGGATAGTCAAACACTGGAAGAGATGGCCCAGAGAAAGTGTTTTCTTTCCATTTCTCCATTCACAGAAATATTTAAAACAAAACTGGGTGATCCTAGGAAACGTGCTGCAGGTGACTTCTCTGTGGATAATGAGGGTGGACAGACAGTCTCCAAAGGTGTCTTCCTACCTCAGCCATTCTATGATGCTGTGGAAAACAAACATGAAACCTCTCTCAAGCCCTCAGATGCTAGTGATGGAGGCATGCAATGTGATACAGAAACTGACCCTTGTCTGTACTTACTTTTGTGAGCACTGTGGTTGGGTATTGGAGCTAGGTTGTTCTGTACAGGAATAACATTTTTCATTTTGTGTTGGTCTATGGACATTTGTCGAAAACTTCTACCTGTGAAAGAAAAAGAAAGTTAATATGGAAATAATTGTAACTATTGTGTTGCACTGTGCATTTCTGGCTTCCAGAAAAGAAAATAAAATTTATTTATTATTTCTCAGAAATAACAAATTTATAATAAGAAATTATTATTTCTTGTAATAACAAGAAACCACTGACTGAAAAAAAGAAGGTGTTGCTTAGTTCACTTTACACTCATAAAAAGGACTGATTGCTTTAGTACAACCTTCACATTATTGCTTTCTATTGTATAATATAGCTTTAGGTCTTAAAGTGGGCACAGTTTATTAGCTAGGTCTCTGTAATGATCTTTGGGCTCTAAATCTGTAAAATTAATCAAATAGATGATTTGATTTCAAAATTGAAGGTTTAGTTTGCAAAATATCCTAATAGAATCTCAGTCTTTGTAAGTTTTAAAACAAAAACAAAGTTCAACTGCTGGTTGGAAAAGGACATTGAAAGCTATTAGCAGTAAAGATGATTTGAGAGAGTTTTGTGGCAGATGAAAGCATATCACTGATAGAAGGTTATACTGATCCTTATTAAACTATGTTTATAGCAGTATCATTTTCACCAAGAATAGTATACACTGGAAAAGGAAAGGTTAATTGGTTAATTCTGGCATGTCACTGGTTAAGATTAAAGTTAACTTAGGTCTAATACTATTAAAAAAGACAGTATGTTAGATGATTTAATGCATTTCATCACATAAAGGACATGTCTAATACTGAAAAAAGTAGAAACTCAAGCACCAAGTCAACATTTTCACCAGATCTTTTTCCTGAGGTGATCTTATTCTGTGAAGCTTGAGTTCCTCAAATTATTTTTCTTGTTATTACCAAATCTGTTATGAGCCATCTAATGAGATGTCTTGGCAAGCAGCTGCTCATCCAGCATGGCTTTGCAACACAGTTCATTGAAGAGCAGGCATATGCTCTGTCAGCACACAGGGACATGGGGAGACACGGGGTGGATGTAGCAGGACATCCTAAGCAGGAGGAGGAAATGGAATGATATTAATTGCCTTTGTGGCTTTTCAGCTGGTACTTGAAAATACCTATGCATTGTTGGGCTGAGCAAGATAAAGCTGTAGAACAATACTTTTCTAATAGTTTTCTAAAGGTGCACAGAAGTATCTGTCACAGCTGCTGTAACTACGTTGCTGACTAAACAGATTCTGTATGAAAGGAGTTACTGTGGTGTTGGTCAGGCAAACCACCATGTTACAGTGCAGCCTTCAGCTCAGCGTGGAGCAAGGTTTTGGTCTAAAAGCCGCAACAGTAGATAGACATTGGGTCAGTCTGCTGGATCCTGTGGTTAAGCTGATGTGTTTGAGCTAAAGCATGAAGAATCTTTTATGGGTGAACTCTGCTTAACAAAAACAGACTTCAGTTTGGTTTTCCCGTTTTTTACTCTTTAACATCTCTAGCATCTAGTTGGTAAATTTCTTCTATAGACCTTGCATCCACTTTGCACAAAGGACTAAATATATCAATTCCAATATAGCAGAGAATCGTTTGTTGCTCTCATTAGAGCAATTCAAGTTATATTGGTTTCTGTGATGCTATGTGAGAACTAATGACTTATTGTGTATGTATAATTTATGGCTTTGATGATGGGAGAGTGTTGTTGCTATGAAGAGATATGTTAATTTCATAAATGGTACAAATGGTACAAAATATAATCATATTTGAAAAGATTATATGAATGCTTGGAAAAGAATCCTTGTTAAATTTTGGCATCAAGTGGAAGTTTTCTTCTACTTTTCCTTTCTATCTGTTTCACGTAACATCTGGAAAAATAGTTTTTCTCTCTTTGAGACATCATCTTTGCTGTCCCCAAAAGCACATTTATGATTGCAGTTATTTTTGAATAAATGGAAAGAAAGCTATTTCATTCTTATAAAATGCAGGACTGCATTTGATTCTGTTTAGTGGTTGTATTTTTTTTTAATTTCCCTTATATTTAGGAAGGTGAACCACATAGTAGTGCATTTTGTGTAAAAGTTGTTAATGTTATGATGACTGTCTCAGAGTTAATTGGTTCTTAAATTTGAGAAAGCGACAGCCACACTGATCAGCTATGCTCTACTTTCCTAGCCAAAAAATGCTCCCTGTTGAAGGTATACCATTCATTGATGGTATACCATTCTGCTTATACCATCATAAACTTAATAATAGCCTGTTTTTTCACCTATTCAAGCAAACAGAAGGTACTGTAATAAAACCTGTAATAAAGTATCATCTTACATCTGGAAATCTAGTAACCCAAAAGACGAGTGGGTAATAGGCATCTCAGAGCTGTCTTATACTTGAGATAGACTTCTGTTACCCATATTACTTGGAATTTCTCTACTTAGACTATTTGTCCCTGTAGAATGCAGATAGCAGTACATTTTGCAAAAAGAGATGACTGCAAAGCTCATAAGTAAATGCTTCAGATTTTTGATGCTACCTCAGTACTGTGGCTGGCAAACTCTCATGAAATGTTGACAGTTTAGTATAGACTGTCTTTGCTCTTCTCAGTGGAGGGCAGTAATTCTGAGAGAAACCAATGGCATAGTAATAAGGTAATTCTCATTGCTACACACAGCAACCTCTCCCCTTTGTGTGAGTGTTAATATGCTCAGGTAGTAAATTGACTCATCTTTCATTCCTGGGAGCACAGATAATAGAACAAAAATCTCCAAATGCTTTGACATATATATGTGCCAGCTGCCTTTGTAGAAAGAGAGCACAAAATTTAGCTTTGACTTTGGCAATAGACATGGTCATGCAAGACAATCAACACTGTCAACAGAAAAAATAATTTTTAAATTGAGTTTTCTTTCATTATTGATACCCATAATCCTGGCCTAGATATTCAGTGATTAGGAAATTACATATAGTCCCCCAGTCATGAATTGAGAAAGGAATTGTTAACACTTCAGTGTCTTCAAAAAACCAGATGTTTCCCCCCCCAGCTAAGTCTCCTGCAGAAAGAAAGTAAAATCAATTAAAAAACCCCAACCAAATAAACAACAAAAAAAACCACAAGAAACAAAGAACAACAAAAAAACCAACCAAAACCCCCCAAATCAACCAACCAAAAAAAAACCCCCAAAAACCAAAACAACCCCAAAAACCAAAACAAAACCCAAACCAAACCAAACAACAAACAAACAAACAAACAAACAAACAAACAAAACAAAAAAAACCACCCCAACAACCCCAACAAAAGATATTTTTCCTCAGGGAGACGGCTGCCTGTACAGCCTTGCTGGCTGAGCTGGAGCCAGACTTTGCTTCGCATCCTTCTAAGTCCTGCAGGCACAGCACATTGGAGACCTGGAAGTCCTGGAGCTCATACAGTAAATGCAGTTCTAACTCACAGAGAGTCAGGTGGCTTTAATTACAGGGGAAGACAGATTTAAACCAAACCCATAGGCATGAAGATGGATAAGCAGATCTTTCTATAATGAGAAATGAGACAATATCTGTGTTGTGCAATGCATTCCTGTCAGACACTCTATTCCTCCTCAGAGGATTTTAATTCACGTTTTAGAGGAAGGTTCTTTTTGCCAGATACAGGAATAATTTTATTGTTAGAAAATGATGCTAAATGAAGTTTAGCTACAAAGAAAACTGGACTTAAAGAAGACTCGGGCTTTTTATTTTCTGAGAAAAATAACAACCTGTCAGAAATAAGCTTACTTGCCTTTCCTTTGGGCATGCAAAGATGGCTCCTATTATAACAATTAGATTTTTGTCATAGGATGTTCACAGAAACATTTTTTTCTAGGAAAACCACCTATCCTTCTGTCCAGAGCAGACAAGGATTTAATAATTTTCTACAGTATTAAGAAAAATCTGTAACCACATTTTAAATAACATGATAGTTACTTCCATATCAAATATTAATTGTCTAGGAAATTCAAACAGGAAATTTTCCCAGAAATTCCTCCAGTTTGGTTTATCCAGCTTGAACTCATTCTTGCTACTGCTGTCAGGTTCAATGATCTCAAATATCTTAGCCTCATTGTACCCTATTATAGTGAGGTTGTAAAGTTGCCCTGCAGGTATTCTTGTGTTCCACATGTGAGCTGAACCTTGCAGAATTTAGTGTAGAAGGAGTCGTGCAGAAGCAATCATTGCTGGGCATGTGGAGTCTGGGGTTTGCATGGTTGAGTGAGTAGTTGAAGAGTGCATAGTAAAAAAGTAGTGACACCTATGGAGCAGTTCTATTAAGCTTTCAGGAATGTGGCCTGACATTCAGGAAGTGGCACTTTTAAAATAGTCCCTTTTTACACAAAAAAGATATTTCTAGCCTTTAATTTGCACAATGTATGTATAATGGCCTGTCATTCTAAAATTGCTGTCTCTGCTCTAGTTGTCAGACATGTGTGCAAAGATTTGCTTTTTTGTAGTTCACTTCACTTAGATTTCAGAACACTTTGCACTATAATGCAGCTAACTGAGGGCTCTTCTTAGGGCTTCTGTTCACTTCTCTTTCCACTGAAGGGTAATGGCTCATGTCTCTTGGGGTAAGTGTGGTTTAACTTATTGAAGTTATATACCTCTTAATGGTATATTGGAAACTTTGGAGTTTGCTTCTGCTTGCTTCATTTGCAGTTAGATATTGCAGTGGTTGGAAGGCATGCTAGATGTGTTTAATTTTGGCATGAGACTAACCCCAAAGGAGATGAATTTGGAGACACTGATATATTAAAGTCAACTCCAGAATGCAGGCCAGCCAGGCAGATTCATTTAACATGGATGTGAGTCAAACAAAATACTAGATCCCAAATCCAGCCAAACTCTGGTATTAAGTTCACCTTAGAATTCTAATGCTCTGCTTCATTACTGTTGCATTACAATTTCCAGACCACAATATAAAAGCATTTTCTCCATCTCTGTAAATTTAGCAAACTGAATTCAGTTTTGGAGAAACCATAAGAACTCCATATCAGACCAAAGAGCTGGCACTCAGGGTGGGAAGGGGTGCCACTGCAGCCTGGAGTCAGAATATAACTATATGAGTAAGGAGGCATGGCATAAAGCTGTCCAGCATGGCACTGGACCTGGCTGGAGTCAGAAGCAGCTCTCACCAAGGTTACAGATTTGAGGGCAAGACTGTTCCCTTGCACATGTACATCTAGGACTAAATGTGGACATCAAAAGCAGCAGGTGTGGTAGTTGGTGTTAATGTGCAATTCACAAAGCACATACATATTACCTGGAGGCACTTAATTGCTCAGGTGCCTTATATCTTCCTAGATACCTATATTTTTGCTTGCTCATCAGACCTACTTAAATCTCCTATTTCTGCTATTTCTCTTCAGCTTTCAACTGATGTCCCACCCAAATGCTACCTGTGATGGCCACATAAAGGAGAAACTGAAAAAAAAGTTAGAAATGTAATTAGTCTCTACCTTTTTCTGACTCAGCCGGTCACATCAGTAGATATAATAGGATTTTGGATATAGAAAAGGAAAAAATTACCTGATGGAGAACTGGGAAGTGAGGGAAGGCAGGGAGGGCACAAAAGCACATGGTGAGATCTATCAGAGCTTAAGCCATTCATCAATTTGTCTGAAGAAGTCCTAGTACAGATTTTGTAAGAGAGCCTTTGGTTAGAGTCTGTGTTCCAGGGATCCTCCAGCAAAGCCTGGCAGCTGTCTGTGTTGTCCAGCAAGTTGTGCTCACTCCTACTCTTTCGAGATTTGGGTGGAACGTGGTGGGTACTGGAGCTGGAGTAGGAGCATGACATTTTGCTCTGGGAAGCAGTTAGAAAGGAATTGCCTGCAGTGATTAGGGGGAAGCTCTGGGTGGTGATGGGTGGGAGCCCCAGACATACTGATTGCTTCTTTTCTGCTATGAGGTACTTAGAATCTGTACTCTTTCTTTTAAAGTCAGGGGTGGTCTTACACTCATCTGGAATGTCTTTACAATTTTTATTCATAATGCAATCAAAACGGGTGACGATATCATCTACTTCTGAGGTCTCTTCTCCAGGATCTTGATCTCTGCTTCTCTCCTCCTGATTGGTTTTCTGATCATCTTTCTTCTTTTTGCAAGAGAAGATCTGGTTCAGCATACTGAATCGCCCTTCTTTCTTTGTAAGTCTGTTGTTCTGGAAGTGAAACTGCTGAACTAACTCATATCTACTGGAAATACAAAATAAAATGTGATGTCAATATTACCAAATGATGAGAAAATACCAACTGTGTTACTCCATTAAAGAAGCAATATTCTTTCCAGATACCGCTGCACCAGTGGTTCAAAAAAATTAGGATCCCAAATTTGTAATTAACACACTGAAAATGCTACTGTGTTAATTCACTCTTCTTACAGGTGAGTTGCCTTACATGCATCTTAATGTAACTTAGCAGAGCCATCTGGGAAAGAAACCCCTTCATTTTCTGCCTTCAGCATCCACCAGATGTGAAGATTTAATGATAATGAAAAGAACATCTTTTAAATCAGATAGTCTTTGTATTATGTCATATTTGGAAAAAAATATTTCTGGTCATTGCAAGCACTGTAAAAGAAGCCTCTTGTTCACCATTCCTACTGTCCCTTTCCCTTTTCCTTTTTCCTCTTTTCCGTTTGCCCTTTCGCTTGCCTTGCTTGTGTTAAACAGGTCCAGCACAGTTTCAGATCAGTCAAGACAATTACCTACACTGGTGTTGCCTTTTCCAAACTAGAAATGAAACTCAAGATAATTTTAGTATGGGAGGTAATATAAAAGTGGATCTTTATTGAAGACATTCAGGGCAGTTATGGAAAGATGTCCACAAAGCCTACCTCCACAAGGGTGAGTAGATTTTTATAGGTTTTAGGAAATTAGCCTAACTGATCAAAAGCACAAGTTAGGAGGACAAGTGGTGATGCAATTCCAGCCCAGGTCAAGCACTTTCTCTGGAGTCTCTCCCTTGGTACTAGCTGTCCTTTGTCCATGAGAATGTATCTTGCAGACTTGTTCTCAATCTTGGCTGTCAGGAAGAACCAAGACAGCATGGTGCTTTGTCTCCCTTGGGACTTGGAGCTCTGGAATTTATTTTTTTGCCTAGGGAAATGCTATGGAAAATTACTGGGACAATAGGCTACAGAGCTACAAATATATGTGCAAAGAATACAGCGAACATATAAAAGAGAAAAAGGCAAAACTGAAAATGGTATCAGTATTGCTGTAGTGGTTTTGAGATGTAATTTTGTTTATTCTCTGACCTTCTCTAATAGACAGAGAAAGGGGAGAGGTAATATTACCTGTGTCTCATATAATATTAACTTCTGACTGCAAAGGAGGAGAAAGCACAAAGAAATGTGGAGATAAATGTAAGCACATACTTGAAGTAGAAGAATGGAAACTAATTAGATAACAGCTGCTTAAAAAGGAAGAATAAAAAGAAAGGAAGATTGTAACCAATAAGTCTTTTGTTATACTTTTTAACAGACAAGAACTCAGAATTAAAAAAACACATCAAGGCAGAGAAGAACGCTAGGATAATACTACCAAACTCTTACTCTGAGGATGAAAACTTGAGATTTATTTTATTTTCTGTCAAAGCTGCTTTTGTGTTCAGTGTATCTGTCTGTCTGATTACATGAGCACACAGTGCACAGAGATTTCTAAGAAGTGGAAGTTACATGTATCTGATGGCTGAAATTATTCTATTATACAAATTTTCTATATGAAGGTGACTGAGCACGAATTATACACACATCTTCTTCACAGTCCTCTGCTGCTTGGTAGAGTAGTATTCAACCTCAGTGAAGAGTCTTTGTAAAGAGAACTGATTGTAGAGTTTCAACATTGATGGAAAATGAAATGAGTATTGCCTATGAATCAAGGAAACACACTGAGGGCTCAAACCTTTCAGTAGCATTCAAAAAGCAATAGATTTGTTTTGTAGTCTGCGGCAACACATGATGGAAAATGTGAACTTTACTTTTACCTGCCCTCCTGAGTCAGCAGCTTGACACATGCCGTGTGCCCACAGTATATTGCGTATGCCAGAGGAGTGTTTTCATTGATGTCTCGGGGGTTGCTGTCTATCCCCAGTTCTAGCAGTGTCTGCACACAGTCAGCTTTCCCTGCTGCTGCAGCCCAGTGCAGCGGAGTCCTACAGGAAAGGCGGAGTATCATTAAAATAGATGAACAGATTTACAATCAAAGCTAGTAATGACTCAGTGAGGTGTGCATAAGATATACTATTTTTCCAGATTCATAATATACATTTTAAGAAATTCTCCAGCCAACTCATTCCACACTGTTGTAGCTGCATTTATTTAGCTGCAGATAAAGTAGAATATGGGCTGCAGAATGCCTATACCTTATATAGCAGCACCTCTTCCACAGCTGGAATTGTAGAGTAGGAGAAGTGCCTGAAGTATTCAGAGCAGAATTTAAAAAAAAACCTTCACTGTATCCACTGCATAGGAACAAACTCTTCTCATCTTTACACCAACCATAATTAGCCATGGTTGGCAGAGGATTTTCCGTGAAGGTAATAAGATAAGCCTCTCCCAGATGAATGACAAGGACTGAACACATCTACCAGACTGCCACTTTGCCAGTTTCTGAGTTCTATGATAGGCACAGACCAGAGCACATATAATTGTTTTGAATCTCTGCAGCAGAATCAAACTGATTCTGTTCTTGGCATAAAGTTTGCATCTTGTATTTGGAAACATTTGTCCAGTTTCCAAATTGCTCTTGGAAAAAAATCTAAAAGCACAGACAACACCACAAGAAAAGGGTTTAAGAATAGAAAAATAAAATTGACATTTTTTTTCTATTAGTTTTCAGTCTCAGTGACTTCAGAGTGGGTGCAATCAGAAACACAACAGAATGAAAATCTTATAGATGTGTTTGTAGCAAAAAGCTTACCTTTTCCCTCTCCAAGTATAATATATTCTGAGCATATGGAAATATCTGAGCATGTGGAATAGGTGACCATGTCTTAATGAACTTTGAAATCTAGGCAATCTCTTCTCTTTGCTCTTCTTTCCATAGAAACACAGCCTGCTCAACTACATTTTAATGATGTTTAGAAACTGCTCCAGAACCCTGTTCATTTTATTTCTGTTCCATTTTATTGCACTTTTCCATGAAGAATGATATTATTTTAAGTACCGAAAGGCCTGAGCCAAGAAAACTTTGGCTTTTGCTTCACTGAGAAGAATAATCGATACAAACAACCAGCTGGTTCTCTTTGCATTAAATACATTTTGAGCAAAGTTCCAAGGAAGGTACTTGTGGGGTGAAAAATAGGAATCTTCTGTACTTATGAAATAGAGATTTAATCACAGAAGAAATCACAGGTGTTTTCAGAATGGAAGGTGGGAGTCCTCTGGTCCTATATGAGTATGGTATTTTCATCTTAAATACAACAACAGAACACTGCCATTTATTAAATACAAATAACAGCAGGATCCTGGCTTCAAGTTGTAGGATCCCGTTGTATTGTTTTAAAAGAATGTTCACTTTTGATTGAACGAAACTTAGGTGAGTTGTGGCATAAGTCCTTACACAAATAATCTTCTCCTTTTCTAGGACAAACAGAAAGCTACATTTCATTCTTTCTAGTCAGTTATCGTACTAAGTACAATACATGTGAGCTGAACTGGTTTGCAGCGTTACTGAGCAAGCACAGCTCTCTGTAGACTCCAGGGCATTACTAGGCCATGGCCTGTGAAACAGGAAACATGATTACATAATAAACAGAGCTGGTCTCAGGTTATTAGAAAGGAAGCAGCAATTTCAGAGTTTCCATGGTTACCTGTCATCCACATCAAGAGCCTGCAGGTTGCACTTTGGGACTTTAGCCAGCTCACTGATGATATCACTGTAGCCTGCAGCAGCAGCAATATGCATGCATGTTTTGCCATTCTCATCATCATAATTTATTATTGATGGTCCCTGCCAGTGGTCCAGAATGATGGAACACAGAATCCTGTTGCCACTCTGCAAGGAAGTTAAGAAAAGTTTTACAATGGAGCTCACACCCGACTGCATCTTCTCTGCTAGAGAATGCTAAATACAGTAATTCTTCAGGTATTCTACAGGTATTCAGTAATTCTACAGGTATTCTTCTGTGTGCATACCAGAATCTCCATATATGAAAGCCAAATCTTCCAATCTCCAGCTGAGGACTGTGCTTACCTTATGAATTTTCTAAAACACTCTGAACACTGGAAAAATAACAAATAATGAACCATTGCAAAAATCTCCAATTTGTAGAGTGTAAATTGCTTAATGGAAATTACTTGTGGTTTTTGCTAAGACAGAGTCCAGAAACACAAGCATATATTTTCCAATAGAAATTTAGATCTAAAAAGAGTCTCAGAAAATCAACCCATATCTGTAAGTCTGTCTCAGTACACTTAAAAAAGTCATGTCAAATATTTGTTCAAGTGCTTCTTGAAAACTTTCTTAGCTAGTTTGCTCCAGTGTCTGGTGTCTCAATAGAAAGTTGACATTGTCCTCTAACCTGCAAATGAAATGGAACATTTTATATCCTACCTTAGTGGAAACAGAGCAAAAAAACGAATCACTTTTTTATAACAACAGAAACAGAAGGTAGCAAAGGTCTTTCTATATCATCAAATTAAATTCCTGCAATCACTTGAAGCTGTGTTACATCATCACTCTCATAAACTTTGTCCACTAAAGGCAATTAGGTCATTTTTGTCCCATTATTCTCAAAGGAAGACAGTTCAAGAACTTCTTTGCTTTTATGATTTGTATCTCTAAATGATATTCATACTCAGGGCCAATTATATTCTTTTGTTTCTGTTCCAGCATTATTATTTAGATTAAATACTCCTTTCCTCTTACTGGTACTTGTTCTTGAGATGTATTTATAGTCAATCATCACATCTCTTTTGAATTGTTCTCTTGCTGCTCTAACCAATCATGGTCTTTTAAGTTTTTTTTTTTTTTAAACATGCTTTCTGTTTCTCTCATTAACCTAGTAACCCATTTCCTATTGTGTTTTAGTTGTGTTTCCTTGAAGAGGGATGATTAAAATTGTACTAGTCATACAAAGATGTTTTTGCCAGATGTTATACAGTGACACTGCTCTTCCTTATTTGTGTTAGAAATACCTCTTTTAGTATGTCATAGAACAGCATTTGCCTCATTCACAGCTGTGTCCCATTAGAAGCTCCTAGTCATTTTGGAATGACCCTTTACACCTCAGTACTTCCTCAGTTTTTTTCCAAGCATAGAGTTTTTAGTTTTGGGGAGAACCTTCTGTTACTAGCACCAAAGTGCCTGACTTATACATTTTATCCTATTCAATTTTGTCCCATTTGCATTGCTCACGATTTAAAGGTGATCTATATTCCTGTATGATATCCCCATTCCTTCATGTTATTGTCTTTCACTTTTTTATTATTGGTAGATTTTATCAGAAAGCTCCAGTATTACGTGTCAAGTTATGATGAAAATATTAAAAAGAGTAATATCAAGTCTTATCCCTGAAAGTAATTTCCTTCCAGCCTCTATTCAACATTTAATCATACTCTTGTTTTCTGGATTTTAAGACAAAATTTCTTTTGCTTCACTGTACTTTTGTATCTTATTTTGCAAGATAGCTATTTATTCTAAATATATCTTTTAAAGATGGGTAGACATCCATTATCTCAAGCCTCTACTATACACTTTCCATCTCTGCTCTTAAGATTCAGCTTCCTGCCATATTTTGCACCATTGAGAGAATACATTCCACATCCCTGGAATATTCTGATCTCACAACTACTCAGTCCAGCTGAGAATTCTCGTAATTTATCAAAACATATTCCCCTGAAATCAGGAATTTTGTTTTACATGTACTTTGCTTACTTTAGAGTCTAATCTTGATCATGTAATCCAAGCTTATTTTCTGTGACTAGCATTTTGTAACATCCAAATGAACCATGTTCAAATTGTTATTAAGTTATAGTTGTCTGAATATCTAATGAAAAGAGGAGTGTTGATCCTCATGTTCAGGAATACTGAGGTCCTATGAATAACTGCTGTTTTTATTGTGCAGTCCTTATGCCAGATACCAATATCCTCCATACTAGTATAATTCCCAGTTACATATTTTCATCATTAGCATCAGTGAAACCCCTAGTTACATTCAGGGCTAACTAAATCTAGAAGTCTATTACATACTTCTAGTACTACCACAATAAATATCTATCTGTTATCATCCTTCTCTAAGTCAGCTTTGATACAAAAAATGATTTACATTAGTACCTTACTACTTTTGTACTAATGTTCTAGTGACTCTACTATTCCTCTAGTTTTACACTATCTTGCTAAGTCCAAATTTCACACCCTGAAGCTGCAGTTTCAGTCCCTCCACGTTCTTGCACAATTCTTAGCATTCACAGGAGAAATTTCCCACTGTTCTGACTGGCCTTTTTTACTTTTACAGACTGCTCTGTCTCCCACCAATCTTCTGCTTTCTAGACTAAACAAATAATTTCAACCTCCCTGTGCAGGTCACTTTTCCAACCCACTTATCATACTTGGTGTTTGCTTTTGGCCTGTTTCCAGTTTGTCTGCAGGTTTTTTTCAACCATGGCATTCCAAATAACACAATTATCCAGCAGTGGCTTCTCTCTTGACATTGAAAATTACTTCCTGTAACCCATATTTACCATACTTCTTGTTAATATGTTCCAGAATGATGATTGTTTGATTTATATCAACACCATAACTTAAACTGCTTATCGCTTTTGTAATCTGCCAGTCTATTACTCTTAATTTTGCACAAAAATCTTTAATTTTTTCACAGTTCTGTATAGTGTAATTTTATTAACTTCAGTTAATTCCTACAATTCCTCAAAATAGTTTTGAATTTCATCCTCACCCATGAAGTAGCTGATGTCCCTGTAATTTGATTTTCACTGTAGATTAGATGTGTGTTCTGCATTTCAACACCTCATTATGGAACAAATAAAAACATTCTTATGATACATCCCTGGTTGGACAGTCTATGAGATATCCATCTCCAAAGATTATTTGAACTGTCTTGAACGTGGCTGATAGAGAATATATGATGTGTGATACAAGTCTCTGGTTGATTTCGATGGCATCACTCCTTCTTCTTCCCCTGTGGGACATCTTGGAAAGAATTCTGTGTCTATTATAGCAGGCTGTGCTTATAAAAATTGTGCTATTGATGTTATTCAATGTGATTAAACTTGCATGTACTGCTCAAATGGAAAAGGAACAAAGAATTAGACTTTTAATGACCACTGTATTTGCCACATGCTTAGCAAGGCTTCTGTGCCATGTGATGAACTTTTTCTTGCCACTTTTCCATAAGTTTTGTGTTTTATTAAATGGGATTAAACTGACTAATTGACACTCAAACATACCTCACAGCTTCTTATCTGAGGAAGCAGTACTTGCTATGAAGATGGCTACGAAAACTCTGTCTTACTTCAGCCATTCAAAGAAATTGTTACTTCCATTTTCTAAGTAATCAAAGAATATTTCCTAATATTTTAACATTCTGCTGCATGACATTTCTTCTTTCTTTGTGACTGCTCAATGAGTTTAAGTGGAAGAAAAGTAAACAGTGGTTACAGTTCTCTTTTCTTAGGAATACCTTATCTTTAAATTCCTCTTGGCTCTTCTAAACTGCACTCAAAATTCTCTTAAAATGTCTACAGTGCCCTCATTCTTAGATTGATAGCTTTGAGCTGTGGTCACCAAAAATGCAGTTCTCCTGTAGTAAATTTACCACAGTACTATTGTTAGACCAGGATGTTCTCTGGTAAATTTACCATAGGAAAATTATGTGGTTTTGTAACCTTACTGTATGCATCACTAATTTTCATCTTCCCTTTTTGTATTCAAATTCTTTACAGCAGAGACTCAAATGTTCTCAGAGATTATCAGTCATTTTTGCTATGTGTTTCTAAATAGTTTTGCAGGACTTCTTCCCACCCCTCCCCTGGCCAGGTTTTGTTATGCTTTTGTCCCATCTCACACTTTTATCTGCTTCCACCCATTATTGGTTTTCCTCACTGAAATTTTCTTCCTTAAATGCCTTATCTCAATTAAACATACTTTATTGTTCTAGGGTGACTTTACTTGTCCCAAACCAGGATATTTATGAAGAAGAAATGTCCTAAAGCCTAGATCCATAAGCCCCCTGTATGAAAAACTGTGCTTTATGCAAATTTTTGTCTGAGATTTCTATAATCTCCAGACAGTGGCAGACAGCCAAATCACTAACAGATATCTTGCTCTGACACTTGATTACACCTCTGGTTTCTATAAACTGAAAGTCAGACTTCTGAGAGTTAGGTCTCTCAGTGCTTTCCAAATAAAAAAATAATTATTCAGGAAGTATCTATCTAAATCAAGTACCATTTATTAGAAAATCCTGAACCTCTGGGACACTCTTCTAGTTTTGGCACTTCTTTCAGCTATTCTGCTCAATTTATCCTCATCATTACTGCAGCCATGGTTCTTATACTTCAGCTCTTTCTATGTCCAACTCATAAGCAGAACAATAATTTCACTTAGAAAGTTTATTGTCACTTACATAATATTTTACTGTAATGTTGCATTTTATTCTGCCAGGTCTTCAGTCATAAACACTGAGATGTTTGTTTTTTGTATAGACAGCTTTTTTTTCCCCTCTTCAGAATATTCTAGTAAACTAGATAATGGGGTGTCATATGAAGGAGTCATATGAAAGGAGTCTGCTAAGCCTTCTACCAGTAATGGTGGGACAGTTAGAGGAACAAGCTATAGATCACTTAACTGGTCTCATGAAACCCAGATAAAATACTTTAAAAATATTTTTCTCCCAAGTAAATGCCTCTGGAGATTGTATGGTTAGGTTATACTAGTTTTTCTCTATTTCCTGTCTGCTTGTATTAGCATGCAGTTTAAAGCTTTCCTATATCTATTGCCATCTTTGCCAGGTGGAAAATCATCACTAGAAGTTCTTG